GGCCTAGCGTATGTGCTGATTCCTTAAGTTTACGAATTTTCCAATGGTGTTCCTTGTCTATGATCTCAAATTGATCCCACAGAGGGTGATGATCTCCCTTCTCTCTCAATATGTGGTCAGCCACGCCTGATTTTTCCACTTCCCTACGTGTTACAGCTTTCTGGTGTTCTTACCTAGAGGGGGCGGCTCGTCTCTCCTTTATATTTCTTCTGTCTTTACTCATGTTCTCCTCTATGGGGGGGCGTACTCGGGAGAGATATCTGCGAAGTGTCGTCAAGCTTTTGAAGGTTGTCTTGATGTCATATGGACCGCAGATCCTTTGTATTTTCTCTGATAACCCCTTCACATAAGGCAGGCAGACTGTTTTATGAGTGCTATTGTCCTCCTCCTCCTCTTGTACCTGCCTATCCGAGTTTTGGGGGGCTGCTTCCATGTACCCAGAGTAGTTGTTACATTGTAGGAGTGTGAGTTCAATACCCGATTAAGGCAGTGGAGAACTTTCAGAGGAAAAATTAATAGGAGATAACTGATAACTAGCATCCATTAAACATGGCACGTGGAACTAGAATAGTTTACCCCAGTGAGCGAACCAAACACCTGAAGAAGGCCGGAGCGTGCAACTACCGAAACGTTGTAATAAATATGGCGACAAAGATGAGGACAATAGTCCAATAATGTAAATAATTTCTCTTAGTGTTTCAATTTAGTCAAAAGGCCTACTAATATATAATAAATATCATCAAGCTTGTCCTTCTATTCTTCAAATTTCATTAACCTACTTATTAAATCTACTTATTATAAGAAGCATACGTAGACCCTCTTTCGTTTTAATTTTATATATATATATATATATATATATATATATATATATATATATATATATATATAGTAAAATTCCCAGAACAATTCTATGGATAAGACAAATTGATATAAGAATGACAATAGTTACAGTAAATCCAAAATTTAAAAAGAGATATGTTTTTCCTATTGTCTTATAACAATTTGCCTTATGCACAAAATTGTTCAGGCAATTTTCCTATATTTTCGACATGAGGGAAAAAAACTCTTAGTATAATGTAAGATAACATTAGCCAGAAATAGTCTTACGCATATGTGTTCCTCTCCCCTTTTAAATTTTGGATTTAATGTAAATATGAAAAATTTTATATTTAAATATTATTTAAGTAAAATTTATGACAATTACGGCAAAAATAGTTAATTCATTTGTCTGATTTAGTAAACTTTATTTTTTATAAACTTATAATACATGAGAAACTATATATTACTAAGTTTGAAAAAAAAAGTTTATATATCTTACTGTTCTTTTCTTTTTTATATATTATATATATATATATATATATATATATATATATATATATATATATAAAGGTCTGTTACCACTAAAATATGAATAAGGTTTAAAGGAATAATAAGTCATACTTGATTATGATTAAAAATTAATACCTTGGAAAATTAATTTACATTTGCGATACGAAAATACATCTTACCTCGTGTATGTGTATATACACACACATATAATTATATATATACACACATGTAATTATATATATATATATATATATACACATATAATTATATATATATGCACACATATAATTATATATATATATATATATATACACACATAATTATATATATATATATAATTATATATATATATATTACTGCTACACTGGTTTCTGGTTTAGCGACCTTCATCAGACAATGTGTGGTAATTTCCACATATTATTAAAAGGAATTAATTTTCCTCATGTTTTCCGGTGTTCAACCATTGACTTTTTTGTGTAGTAGTAATCCAGGATTTTTTCTTGGACCTGTGGAACATATTCTTCTGCTTAAATGGTAATAAAACAATTAGGATTCGTCAAAGAAAGGGCGAAGGAAGGAGGTTTTTGTTCTTTTTATGACCCTTGTATCCACAGTTTTGTGTATTGTGTGTGCGTGTGTTTTTACTAGTGTATGGATACATTTTACTCCTCCATACATATATGTGTTTTATGAAGAATTATTGTATATATATATATATATATATATATATATATATATATATATATATATATATATACTTGGGGTAGTTTGCAAATAATTTTTAATTTCGACAAATTTTGTTCACGATAATATACATGTTGTCTCTAATATTACAAAATACTTTCATTTCTTCTTGACAGATTAATTTCTCATGCATTATACTTGAAAACCAATGGTTAAAAAGGACTGTGTATATTTCCTTCATACTTTAAAATCTAAGATACGGAAATGAATTCGTTAAATTAGAAAAAATAAATATAAAATATAACTTTTTCTTTTCTATAATGTTTAAAAAATGTATCTCTCTCTCTCTCTCTCTCGCTATCTCCATCCCTCTCTCGCACCCACATAATATATATGGATATATATCTCTCACTATATATTTGTTGGAGCTTCGAAAGGTCTCGTCGTCACTCCACGAATTCGGAAAACCATAGACCAAGTGTTACCTGCTTAACCAATAAAAATCAAACAATACAAAAACAAAAATACCAGAATATTTTATATATATATATATATATATATATATATATATATATATATATATATGGGGGTGACACTATTTAGCTATGGTAATTGGCTAACTAATTAAGCATGGAAATTAAAAACAAGAAATACTTTCGATGGCGAGAAGGAGCTATAACGAAAGACATACCGAACGATATTACTTTTTTTTAACAAAAGAAAAATGGGTAAAGATTTTATTTTCATTTACGAATAAAGTTTTTTTTTTTTTTTTTCGCAGAAGATAGAAAATTCGTAAGAAAAGCGGGTATGGGATTCTGTCAGAATTAATTAGTGTCATGAAGCGCCATACAAAGCAGAATTCTAGAAGATAATCGAAACTGGGTCAAGCATGCGACCGAGAAAGTATTAGGTGAGACGATCCCAAAAAGAATAGCCATTAATTATCTTTCGGAGATATCATTTGGTTTTTGTTCTTGTGTCTAGCGAGGAGACCCATCTGTTGTATGTCCAGATCTTGACATGAGGAGATAGGGTCGAGAAGGGGAAATCATTGTTACCTGTTCGAACTATTAACGACAGACTTTATGTCGCCGAGAGCGGATGTCAGTGGGTGCGATGGTGTTGAGGCGAGAAAGACAAGGGATTTAGTCGACCACCCAGTTAAATAGTTGACTAGCGATAATGAATTCCAGGTGACCCCAAGTTAAGATAAAAATTTAATGACCGCAGTGCGATTCATAAGAGTTCTGACCAATAGAAAAGAAAGAAAGAAAAAGGAAGATAATTTTTTCCTTGGGCGATAATTGTAAACTGAGGCCAGTCTAGCCATACCCACGCTGCCAAGCGTTCATTGGCTGAGTGGTGGTGTGAGTGATGGGCGAAGGTGAACATATGAGAAAAAAGGGAAACTTGTTGACGCCCTCTGAGGGGATTGGCGTGAGATACCAATATGAGAAAGTAAGAGTTTAGGAGGATAATCCTCTTACGACCCCGTCTAAAACATAAAGTAATTGACTTCCAAAAATAGGAAGTGATAAATTTTCCTGTCCGAAGACAAACAAAATCCTTATTGGGGATTTGGAATTATCGAAGAACCCAAACCATGACAGGCACCCACCTGGTTTTGGTCGGCGTCCATATAAACGAACGTCCCCAGACAGTTGAGTTACAGTTGAGTTGGGTTGGAGATCAGAGAAGCACGCAGATCGACAGAGAGCTGTGAGCTCGGAGACCAGCCTCGCAGGAGCTGACTGAAAGATTTCCACGCATTCCCACTTAGACTTCTAACCAAAAGCAATTTTTTTTGAAGAACGACTTAGATTCACACCACCAAAAAAGATTTTAATGAATTTCGCCTGAAGATACCAAAAAGCTGTTTATTGAAAAACAACTTAAGATATCAAGACTCACTTGAGAAACGCAAAGTGTAACGAATCTATAGAAGCGGGTTGGGAGAAAGACGCAGTCCTGTATTCAGCATACAGATATAAAGATACTTGTTATTTTTTCAACACATTTGAACCTTTTGAGTTCGTTTCATTTTTTTTTTTTTACATACACTTGTGCAGTATCACATTTGCCCCGGATTCAGCTGGCACTACGGCCCGACATCTGATTGATTTCATCTACCTACGTGGGTAGGTTAGACTAGAGATCAAGGCATTTATTTCGGTAACCAGACGTTGGAGGCGAGCTGGGAACGGCAAAGCTGATATCGAATCTAACCAGACATCGACCGCGACCACGACAACAAGAAGAGTTAGTATCACATATGGTTCCGTGGTAAACCAGATTTCCATCCGAACCAGCCAAAGGTTAGATCGTCACAGATAGTGCTGCAGTCAGCCCAGGTTTAGAGACGTCACAATTGGCTGCCTAGACCAGGACTGACCGGTGGCGACCAAAGAGACCCAGGGAGACGTCACAATATACGTAATTCATCGTGTCTAGAAGAAACCTCAATAGAATGCAGTATGCACTCGACGTCCGAGAGATACTTGTGTATATAAAATACAGACCAGTTAACTGAAGTCCAAAAAACATTATGAACAACAGTAGAGGTGAGTGAGTATTTCCAAGTGTGTTTGTAAAGTTTGAGGCTCCATAGGTGATGCATGTACAGGACAGCCGGTGATTAACAAAGATAGAAAAGAAATTTCCGTGTAGTGATGAGGACTACACGCAATATAAGGCAACACTATCGATTGATATCCTCGTCTTCTCCTGGGCTTCGCGTTGGTCAGACTTAAAGACCATTGAGCACGAACGGAGCATGTTAACTCCATTTTCAGCAGTCACATCAAATAATCAAAGAGTAGTCTTGAAAATTATTGGATAGATAGAATGTCCCCAGTTCCAGAGAGACACTGTGTCACGTTTCGGAGCCACCATTATTCGAGAGAACGGAGAAATTTATTTTATTAAGTATCATTCTCCAAATTTTCACACTTTAGTTTCTATATTATATTAATAATTAAGGCCACAGATAGATGACCAAAGAGATGGATTTGAATAGATAGATAGATAGATAGATAGATAGATAGATAGATAGATAGATAGATATTGAACAGAATTTACAATGCAGTAGCACTCTCTGGTTTGAGATCTGTATCTACAAACGCTATATCATTGATATTATAATACTGAACATATTTCCCCTCATAAATATAGTGAATTTCAAATATCTCATATCAATCTATCCCAGTCTATTTCTTTCTTAATTTCTTTCACGTTATCTCTCTCTCAACATCATCACTTGATAACACACGTATGTATGTATGTATGTATGTATGTATGTATGTATGTATGTATATATACACAATGGTATTATATTTAATTTTATTTATCAGGGGAGTGATAAAAAGTTCTTCGTCCGACAAGGAATACATTTTTTTTAAATTGTTATTATATAAGTAGGTGTATATGGAAGCATTTATATATATATATATATATATATATATATATATATATATATATATATATATATATATACTCGTATATATATTATATATATATATATATATATATATATATATATATATATATATATATATATATTCATTTATGTGATATAGTCTTAATCAGTGATTAAGATTATATCTATATAAATGAATAAATATATATATATATATATATATATATATATATATATATATAATCATTATACGAGTACGAAGTCTAAAAACATGCATATGTGTGTGTGTGTGTGTGTGTGTGTGTGTGTGTGTGTGTGTGTGTGTGTGTGTGTGTGTGTGTGTTGGTAATATGCGTATGTGTGAAAGTCTTGACATCTATATATCATCCGGGAATTAAAATATCCCTTCTCAAACATCGTGTTATCTCCTACATCGTGTAAATCTTGTATGACGTTTGCCAGAAATGCGAACATAAAAAGGCCGCGACTCCGCAGAAACCTTTTGAATAAATCACTTTTCCTTTGAATTTGCCATAACCAGTAAGCAACCTCGCTAAAGTGTCTCTTTTAGTGATTTTTGATCCGTATATTTAATAGAAGTGAAACACTTCCAAGACTCACCACCACCAGCAGCGTGATTACATGTTAGGTATATGGCTATCTGGCCCAACCTCGTCACACGTACAGATGACATTATTCTTTGGCGATTTTCAATTCGACTCTGTTGATTACTAACCGAATATTTCAATGGTCTTTGGATTTTGCTAGTGTAGTGAGTTCGAATCACACTGCTTCTCCATTCTTGTAAATTTGTGCCTGATTTAGACATGTTCAGTAAATGTCTCCATCCACCTCTTTCTCTGCGTTTTCAAAGTTTGCAAATAATTAAATTGTGGACTGTGTTCATTTCTCAATAAACACAGTTTACTTGTTATCTTGTTTCAAACTCTTATATTTTTTTTAACTTTATGATATTTTAGGGGATAATGGCATTCCACGGATTCTTTTTTCTTTTTCATATCTGTAAACTGGTCATTGTCAATGTTTAATTTTTCTTTGAAAACACGGTAGAGTGGGGTTTTTTCCCCACATTTTCCAATTAACATTTTTCTTACAGAATGTTTGCCAATGTAGAAAGTTTCTTAATTTCTTTCTGCCATGTTTTTATATCTCGTCACTCTTTTTGAAATTTGACACCCAGTCTTAACAATTTGCATTATTATTGCTTACTTATGGCTTAAGGGAACTTAAAACGAATTTCGAATTATAGAAATTACAGGAAAACACCTGATACGTTTGCTCCTATCTCGGACTTGTAGTTTTGATCGTAACTACAAGACCTTCCATACTTATGAAAACAACAGGTTTCAGTTTGTTTGTAAGTCTAAATATTTAGAAGTATGTAATATCAGTTTTATTCTTAATACGGACTTGCTTATTGGATGTTATGTAGAGTTAATAAAGATTTTTTTAAATTATCTGTCCCCACAAAAGTTATTTCAACACCACTTCATGTTGATATTTAAAATATTTCTAGTATATTTCGACATTTATTCAGTGTTTTTTTCCCTCAACAAAAACTTGTTGATATTTTTTCATCCCTATTCTTATGTCTTATCACCCTTCTTGAAATTTTCCGCTCAGTTTTAAGAATTTGCGCTGCTACTGCTTAACAAGAGTTTAAGGTCCATTAAAATTAATTATTTCTAATTCTAGGAGTTACAGAACAGTCTCTGACAGGTTTGGTCGTAACTCGGAAGTTTGTATTTTTCATTGTGGCTGCAATAAAAAAAATGCTGGCAAAGGCACTGATGTCTGTTATGAAGTAACGTAAGTACATCGTAGATTATTCGGGTATCAAATAATCGTACATTCATTGGAATTTTGAACAAAGTAAAAAAACAAAAGGAAGATAAATTGGATTTGGATGAAATTCAAAGGTTAAAAGAAAGACATTATTTGGACTATTGTCGTCATATGTATTACAACGTTTTGGTCGTTGTATGCTCCAGCCTTCTTCAGGTGGTTGGAATGTCGAACTGAACCATTTATTTCGCTCACTGGGGTAGACTGTTCCAGTTCCACGTTTAATAGATGTCAGTTATCTCCTGTTAATTTTCTACCGAGTATTGAACTCACACTCTTTGGGTAACTGGATCTAACCAACGCCTTTATCCACTGTGCCATATATCCCTGAGGACATCTGTAAATGAATTTCTGGATATTATAAAGCTAATGTCTTCAGCAACCATTTTTACCAGTGCTTATATTGCAATTTTTTGCCGTTATCATTACATGTTTTTATTAGAGCTCATATTGTAACTTTTGTTGTTATTGCTTTTCTCTGGCACTCCTTATTACTGGTTCCCATATTGTATTCATTTCTATGCTTGGTCGGCTCAGGAGATTTTTGTGGCCTAGAATATGTGCTGATTCCTTAGGTTTACGAATTTTCCAATGGTGTTCTTTATCTATGATCTCAACCTGATCCCACAGAGGGCGGTGATCTCTCTTCTCTCTCCATATGTGGTCAGCCACGCCTGATTTTTCCACTTCTCCTCGTGTTACAGCTTTCTGATGATCTTGAAGCGTTACCTTAAGGGGTCGGCCTGTCTCCCCTTTATATTTCTTTCCGACAAAGATGAGGACAATAGTCCGAATCATGTAAATAATGTACATAATACCTCATCTCAGAAATATAGAGAGAAATGACATTCTCCTGAAAAAAAAGGTCGAAATATTATATTATCAATTCAGATCAGGATAGCTACCAAAAAATTCAGGCAGTCATACATAAGAGCGGGCCGACATCATGACAAAAGCTTAACGCCTCAAAAAAATCTTTTGCCAACTATGAAATGATTGTGTCGTCGATTTCTTCCGGAGATCTGACTTTAGAAACGTGAAGTTTCTTTTTCATCGTTTTCCCTTCTTTAACATTAGGGCAAAGATTAGACGGCTTCCCTTCACGTTATTTATTTTTTGCGATTTGACCGCGTTGCTGTATCGTCACCCTGTTAAACTTTTGTAATCCGCTGCTTTCAATTACATCGCCAACCCACTTGTCCACTGATTATAATAATGCTACCTACCTCACCCCTCAAATATAATTCAATCAATAGCTAGTGAACATCGAAGCAAATGGTCGAATCTAATTTTCAACGCTTGTTTCCACAGGAGATTAGCCACGAAAAAAAAAACTGTTTTAGGACGCCATTAAGGAAGTAAACAGAGTGCGAAGTTGCCAAATGATGTTGGATGGATGCCATCAGTATTTCATGGATTCTTCTGGACCCGGCAGGCCTGAAGCTATTCTCATCCCTTTACTGCAAATACTTATTTCACACTTCCCATTGGAATTCTTTACTTGTTTAGTTATATACGCTCTACTTTTGAAATGTCTGCAAAATGTTATGCAAGAACGCAGACATTAGGGAATTTCCTGAACAATTTCTACGTTCAACGCGTATTTATATAAGGAAGTGACTGCACGTATTTGTGTATATATATTTATATATTTACATGCGTAATAACGTGTGTCCATTTGCGTCTCTCCCCCTCTCTCTCTCTCTCTCTCTCTCTCTCTCTCTCTCTCGATATATATATATATATATATATATATATATATATATATATATATATATAGGTAATGAAATGTTTTGTAATCAGTATAGATAATACCAAGGAGGATGTAATCCACAAAGCTCAATATAAAAACAGCGAATATTAGTTTAATTAAAAAAAAAAAAAACAGACAATCTTAAGGGTCAATTGATTATATTTTATTTCACGTGGAAAGGGATTTTTTTCTTGGGGAAATAAAATATAATCAATGGACCCTTTAGGTTGCATGTTTTTTTAATTAATATATATATATATATATATATATATATATATATATATATATATATATATATATATATATATAGAGAGAGAGAGAGAGAGAGAAAGAGATCATATTTCCTACTACAATAAGCGTTATTTTCTGGTTACCCTTATTGGATTTAGACACCCTGTTTTGTTTTGTTTTTTCTTTTTTTTTTTTTTTTTAATAGAATTACGTATTTGCATTCAAGAGATTGATGTAAAGGATATCGTCTGGGATTGAGAACACGAAGAGCGGAGTTCGAATTCCAGTCGAGTTCGTCACATTCACTTACGGGCAAATAATCTTAGGAAAGGAATAAATCCAACTCTTTTAAACGATTAAATAAATAATAAAAAAAATCACAGCAACAAAGGAAAGTAAACTGTGGAGAGCCATGATCGTCTACACTCAGAAGACATACATAATTGAGGCTGCATCTTTGACATTTCCCCTAAGTTAAAAGCATAAGACACATTTATACAAAATTCCGTTATATATCTTGTTATATATATATATATATATATATATATATATATATATATATATATATATAAAAGTGAACATAGAAGTCAACACTTAGGGGCGACAGTTTGTTTCTTGATAGACGCAATCATCATGCTTTGCACTCGTGGCCTGACGATTGCGTCTTGCATGAAACAGATTATGTTCACTTTTATATTTACACACGCTCTATCTCTGATATTGAGCACTTTATTGATATTGAGCGTTGTTCGCTCTGTCTAGGCCATCTGGGCTTCGAGTACTTTACTTTATTCAATAGGTAAATTTGCCTTGAGGCTTTTTTTTTCTCTTCCTTTTTTCAGTATTGTCGTATTTATTGAAGATTTTATCTGGGTAAGAGTTTTATGTTTTGGAAAGTTCTCTTTTGGTTCCATCAACTTATTTTTTGTTTTTCCTTCACACACACACACACACACATATATATATATATATATATATATATATATATATATATATATATATATATATATATATCCAAGTATAAGATTGGTGTATACGGAATAAATTCAAATAACCAAAAAATACTATTCTTAAAAGACTGCTCAATACAGAGAAAACCCTTTATTCTACATTCAACACCATCACTTGATAAGACATATATACATATATATATATGTATGTGTGTGCGTGTGTGTGTGTGTGTCTGCAGAGTTTCATATATGTAGATTTTCTAGGCTCTAATATAAGCACCTTCATGTCCTCAGAAAGAACCAAACATATCGAATGCGCAGCAAAAGCTACAAAGCCACATGAATGCGTCTAGATATGAAAGACATTGATTAATGTAAATAAATGGTGAATGTTAAATCAGACACTCTGGAATGGAGATATGATCCACTACCCCAAATCTGTCCAAATGAAAATGATCAAAATATCAGTAACTTTTTTTTAATATGGCACACGGCCAGAGAAGATAGGAGCAGGGATATTAGGGTTGCGCCAAAATCTCAGGCCGAGAGTGCATAACTGCCTTGAAATTCAACGTTCAATTTCCCTTGCATTGACGGTAAATTTATAAGCATTAGACAGCGCCATAGATCAAATTTGAATTACGCATAAAATGAAGAAGCTTTTATCCTGTTGGTCAAAAAGACAATTACAACAAAGTTGACATATTATTATATGTCCCCCACCATGAAAAACCTCTGGGATGGGAACCAATAACGCATTGATAATACAATGCGTTATTGGTTCCCAGCTCAGAGGGTTTTTTTTCATGTTGGGGAATATATGATAATCATATGGTGCCAAATTAAGAAAACAGGGAGGGTGACAAACCAGTTCAAAGTCGCAATCACGTACACCAGCCATTGAAACCAACGACTTGTGTGCTGGGCCATTGTCCTAATGAACCAAGTCCCCTTTCGTCGGTTTTCCTGGGCGCTTGGTCTTGATAGACTTTTCTAACTACCTCAGCAATTTGGCATAGTTCACTCCATTGATTATTTGGCCCTTTTAAAGTTACTCAACCAACACCACGCTTGAGGTCATCAATTTCTTTGCAGATGAAACGACGTTGGCTTTCTTTGGAGCAAATGAGATGGGGTGTTTCACCTTATGGATTGTCCCTAACCCAAAGTCATGAACTCAAGACTCATTCTGCCTTAGGAAACGCTCAAGGAAACTAATTCATAACACCACGATGCTACTACTTTCATTTGAATTTTTCTTTTAATAGTCAGATGTTAGTTTACCTGAAAGGAAACAATGAAGTTATTAATAAGAGTTGGAATACTATCACCACCAATTAACGTGTTGTAGAAAACCAACATTATATATAAATTTAAATGTCCTCTGGGAGATTGAATATCCCAAAGGAAAAAAAAATAATATTTATGTTGGCCACATTGCAACTACGTTATCTCGGAGGTTGAGTTTTATTTGCAAGATGCATCTCACATTTCTCAACATTTACAAAAGCATGCCTATACACATTCGCAATTTAGATAAATTCTTGTTGAAAATACATCTATACTTTTTCAGGAAAGTAATAAGCAGAAACAAAAGATTCTTCAATCTATCTATATTAAAAATTAAAACCAACCCTTAATAAAATTAATTATGAATACTGCACAAATGTTTTAAAATGTTTACAGAAGATAGTTTTAAACTATCTATGCTTTAACTAATAGCTTTAAATAGTTTTTTTTTTAAAATAGACATCTTAATAACTTAGTTATCCCCCTTGACGTTACCACACGACTATGCTTATATCATTAAATTAAAAAAATAGTACATGACACAAATAAAAAAAATCAGATAAACACAACCATTGTGTCTTAGATAAAACAAGAACCTGAAGCTGACATTTTGCTAATGTTGAAACGAAACTACTCGAAATAAATGAATATGAATCTATATGGTAACTTTTTTCCTTTCTTTTAATAAGGGATTTAAGAATCTTGTACGTGAATACAAGTAGACAAAACTTCACTAAATTATTTAATAGGACATGTATACACACACACACACACACACACACACACACATATATATATATATATATATATATATATATATATATATATATATATATATATATATATATATATATATATATATATATTTTTAGTTTTGTGCTATAAAGTGCTTTAATATCAGAGATAGAGCGTATGATATATATATATATATATATATATATATATATATATATATATATATATATATATATATATAGCTTGACCATTGCGTCTAGCATGAAACAGACTCTAAGTGTTGACTTCTATATTCACTTTGATATATATATATATATATATATATATATATATATATATATATATATGACGTTAAATCTTTTGTAGGAGAGAAATTATTTTAAATGAAGTTATTATTATTATTACTATTATTATTTCCCGTGATGCTTTAGGCCGGTCAAGGGTTATACAAATCCGGGTCCTCCCTTTCCGTTCAACTCGTCTGAAGTTCACGCGAGCGTGAAACTCGAGTTACGACTAAGGACATCCTTTCGTTGTTAAGCGTTGTTCGCTCTGTCTAGGACATCTGGGCTTCGAGTACTTTACTTTATTCAATAGGTAAATCTGCCTTGAGGCTTTTTTTCTCTTCCTTTTTTCAGTATTGTCGTATTTATTGAAGACTTTATCTGGGTAAGAGTTTTATGTTTTGGAAAGTTCTCTTTTGGTTCCATCAACTTATTTTTTGTTTTTCCTTCATATATATATATATATATATATATATATATATATGATCTGATCAAATATACTTGATGGCATGAAAAGCCCGAGATAAATTTAAATCGATATGAAAAGATTAAATCCAGCAGAAATATTCGCGTTTATCCCCCATTAGTTCTTACTCATTACCCTGCTATTGGGGTACTTTTTTCTTCTTTCTTATTAATGATAGAAAACATTTTCTTTTTCTCTTGAAATCAATTCCTCATAGAGGAAAGGAAAAGATTCAGAATGAATCAAACAAACCATCGCGAGTATGAGGGACATTTTTCCACATTTACTAACGATTTCTCTTCTTTGTTCATTAATTAAGAATTGGTTTCCCTTTTAGCCCATTGTCTGCCATCTTTGACAGCTGGAAAGAGTAACGAGAAATTGTTACGATCCAAATTTTGACAATCATTTAAAAATAAGCATTGAAATATATGCATGAAGACTCACACGTGACAAAACCTATAATAATAGTAAGTAGTTCTCTTTTATACATAGCATCAGTTCTAATCTCATAGGTAAACTCGAATACACATACAAACACAAATAGATAGATAGATATGAACAGGCTGAGATAGATAGATAGATAGATAGATAGATAGATAGATAGATAGATAGATAGATAGAATCTTGAGTATTCCCGATAGTTTTATTAGGATCTTCAGACACAAGGTCAAAGAAGACAGACAACCATCGAAGAACTCATTACTACACTCACACACTATGGTTTAGCACTCATATATATATGTAAGTACAATCGACTTTTTAAAAAAATAGAAATTGAGTCCCTATACCAAAACATCGTTAAACTCCAGGATGAACAACTAATAGAAACTACACCAGAATTTAAAGACTTACTTAAGGCCGAGGCATTGAAAGATCGACATGATAAAAGCAGAAACTCCTCAAAAATTCTTTCTAAACAACTGAAAATTGCCGCACAAGAACTACGTAACCACCCTGACATTACTGTAAAAAAAGCTGATAAGACCAACATTTTTGTCATCCTAAACAAATTGGATTACAACAAAAAACTAGACCACATACTCCATGATCACATAAAGTTTTAAAAACTTAACAAGAACCCGATCAACCAACTAAAATCAAAGCTTAATAAACTTATTAATGCTAATAATGCTGAACAGAACTCTTTAAAACTCCCTAAAATTGTTGGTGATTATAGACCTGGCTACATATATGGCACTATAAAAAAACACATAAACCTAACTATCCTCTCCGTCCTATCATATCGCAAATTCCAACTCCTGTATATCATCTAACAAAATACATCAACCAACTTATTACTCCCTATCTTCCTAGTAAATATAGTGTTAAATCAACATTAGAAGTAATCCAAATCCTAAAAAGTGAAAAACCTGACAATGAAATCATGGCTTCACTTGATGTCCCTGTTAGTGAAACTATTGACATAATCATAAGAAATATATACAGTAACTCATCTTTACCCCCACTTAAAATTAATCCTAATATATTAAGAAAACTACTATTAACTTGTACTACTGAAGTCCCTTTCTTCGATCATAATAACAATATATATATATACAACGTGATGGTGTCTCCATGGGTTCAGTATTGGGCCCGACATTTAGCAATTTCTACATGTCGAACCTCGAAAATAAGTTATTTACAGATTTTAAAAAACCATCAATCTACCTAAGATACGTTGATGATATTCTTATGTTAGTTAAAAATACAGATGAAATAATTCAACTTCAAAAACGGTTCCAAAATAATTCTGTCCTTAAATTCACATATGAACTCAATACTAATAATAAAATCCCCTTCCTTGACATATTGATAAACACAAATAATAACAAATTTACTATTTCGCCATACAAAAAACCTACAAGCATAAATTCATGTACACTTAACTACAAGAGCGAATGCCCATATTACTACAAAATATCAATTATAAAGAATCTAATATATTGTGCAGAAACTAATTCATCCACAAAACAGATTTTTTACAGTGAACTAAAGAATATAAAACAGACACTTATTAATAATAGCTTTCCAAACTATATAGTTGATGAACAAATAAGATGCTTTCTTAGAAATCTCAATAATAAGCAAATTGTACATAATACTGCTTCTACTGATCTCAAATATATTAATCTCCTATATCGTAATCAAATGCATACTAATTATAAACAAGATGAAAACATACTAAAAAATTTAGTAAATTCTAATATATCAACTACAGATCCTAGCAAAAAAATTAAATTAATCATATACTACACTAAATCTAGTATATCCAACTTAATACTTCGCAATGATTCTTCTCCCCCGGTTAGAGATTTGCAAAAAACCAACATAGTTTATAAATTCAAGTGCCCTTTGGGAGAGTGTATCTCCAACGAATTAAATAATATTTATGTTGGTCACACCACAAACTCGCTTTCACGACGCTTGACACTACATTTTAATGAAAAACTCTAACATTTTTAGGCATTTAAAACAACATGCCTGCCCGCACACACAATTCCGTAAAATACTTGTCGAAAACACAACTATACTTCGACATGAAAACAATAGACAAAAACTAAAAATACTTGAAGCATTATACATCAAACAGTTAAAACCCAACCTAAACAAAATCAATTATGGCATGTCTACAAATATTCTTAAATGTCTATAATTTCTATAATTGGTAACAGAAGCCATTGGTTTATACCAACGGCTTTCCTTATTTCATTCTACAATTCACTCTCGTGTAGTCATGTGTGACGTCATGAGATGCGGTGCGATTTTCGCTTCTAGCGTCTTATATGCGCGTGTTTATCGTTGCTTAGTGATCCACTATGTAAACAATGACAGACTATCATCACTGTCGTGTCCGTATATTGTTTAATATGTTTGTGATTTATATCTTTGATAATGGCTTAAGTAAGCCGAAATCTTAGATTATATTAAAAATAATGGATAAATATTGTGAATTTCTTTCTTCGTTTAATGATAATGTTATCAAACTTATCAGAAGATACGAAAAAATTTTACATAAAATAAAAAGACAACACTTGTCTATATTATTTAATGAAACGTGTATAAATGTAAATATGCTGCCTAAATACACACAATATATATATATATATATATATATATATATATATATATATATATATATATATATATATATGAAAAGTGTGTATATAAATATAAATAAATATATATATATATAATTATTTATATATTATATACACGGTACTTATTAGAAAGTGCTCAATATCAGAGATAGAGTTAACATATTTGGTTGGATAGATGTGAGTTTGTGACCCTGGGTTTCACGCTTTAGCGATCATCAGACAAATCAGAGTTTGTCTGACGATCGCTAAAAGCGTGAAACCAAATATATATATATATATATATATATATATATATATATATATATATATAATGACTTGTATCTTATTATGTTGACCACGATGTCAGAAGCGTATGGTATAAACATGGAATTTTCACGACAACTGTTTGGTTTTTTATAGACAGCAGCCTGGCAAAATGTTGTCTGACACGCAAAATTTTCACGAACGTACTTGCTACTGAATTCTTCGATGCAGATAAAAACTTACATCCATTTCCATTGATTGGCACTGAAAAGCAACATTACACACGCCCCTGCACTGAAGAGTGCCTCAGAAATGCCTCGCCACTTACAATGAAAATGTAGAAAACGATATTTTGTGTGATTTACTGTTGTTGATGTTTGAATTAATGTTAATGTTTGTTAATTTGGTTATTCTTTTAAAAATGTGTTTATTTATTAATTTAGATTTTTCGGCCTTCGTAATTTTATTTCACTCGTTTAAAGTGTTGGCTTTGTATAATGTTATGTTGCATTATCTGCATTGTATATGATGCATATATCTGCATTTTTCATGATGGCATGTTACAAAGTGTTTGCTTTTGGTTTTCGATTTAAAACGATTTCGTAGTAAAAAATTTGTGTCTGTATCTAGAGATGAGATTTCGTAGTAAAAGTTTTTGTGTCTGTATCTTGAGATGAGCTCTTTTTGTGTTGGTCTGGGGTCGTAATTATAGCTGTTTCCTAGTTTACAATTTTTTATTTATTGTAAGCTAATATCGTTTTCCTTATTTTCTGGGATATCTTAGTGTAATTTGGTTTTCATTTTTAATTTTCTATAAATGTTTACAATTCGTTTCTTGTTAGTGTATCTACTATTCGTAAAGGCTGTTTTGTGTGCGCAGTTTCTGTTTTCAGGGTCCCTCAGTTACACCCTGTGTATATTTTACTTCGTTATCTGATGATTTTACATTGGCTTGTTGTATTATATTTTTTCCAAGCAATTACCATTTAAGGGACATTCGTTCTTTGCTGTGAAGTTGCAGGTGGATCAATCAAGTATAGAGAACTGGTCCACAATGTCTACTACAAGATCTGCAAGCAATGCGCCTGTGTTTTTGAATTTAAAGTTCTCCTTCTTGACTGATTTCCAATCAAGGTTAAAGAGCCGTGTTTGTGTTTAACCCATAGCTAGAGGAGATTGATTCGTACCTTTTAAAAGATGGGAATCAAGATAGATAGATAGATAGATAGATAGATAGATAGATAGATAGATTTGGCAAACATCATATCTTCGTCATAGAGAAATGGTTACGAGCAAGACCTCCGAGTCTAGCTGAGTCGTGATACAGTCTTTGACTGTAAGCGACCTCTGTCGAACTCTCTGCATTAGCAGAGAGGAACCCGGACGAAGCTTTGCCGAAGGGCAAGGTTTCGTTCGGGGAGGTAGACAGGACCTGAACCCGTCTAGGCGGGTTCAAAGGCTATATTTTTGGCCGAGCCTACGGGCTGGAGATACCCACATTAAACCGGCCTTGTGCCACATTTTATCCTCGTGGGTGGGTCGATAAATACTGAAAAATGGTTACCCCACCCGCCTCACATGATTTGTTCACTCTTTTGGTCTCATGCCATTATAAGTGTTCGGCTAACGTGAGAGCCACAATTCAGAAGAATTTTTAACTACCCTAAATTCTTAAATGAATAAAAAGGATAAAAACATCATTTAGCCAATTGCCGGAAACAAACTCGGCTTTTATATATATTTTATGAAATAGCCGGAACGCCTATTTTGGTAATGGCTTTCACTGACGTTCTTATTCTTAGCAATCTCGAAAGCCACTGAATGCATTTCGTTCATTAATAAGTATCTGCGATAAATTTAACGAAAAAATAAATGAAAAAATTCTTTTTGATTTTCCCTTTTCGTGTTTTTATTTTCTTCATTGATTTTTTACTCATTTCGATTTGATCCTTTCTACTTTTGTCTCATCTCATGAGTCTTTTTCTCTATTTTCCCAGCCATGCCATCTACATCGATGCTATTAATCGAAAGCAAAGTTCTATTGGGAAAAAATGTCATTGGAATGTAATTAATGACCAGTCAGTTAGAGCAAAATGAGGATTACCAAATCTCTACAAAATCTTGGAGTCTTTCTTCTGAACGCACGTAAATCGGCTGCAGTCAAAAAAGGAAGAAAAAGAATTGATTGAAGAAGAAAACGATTTCAATTTAACAAACATCCTCGACTACAAGAAAAGCAAAAGAAAAATGATTTGATTTAAAATTGGAAAAAGTGACTAAGTATTTTCGATAGAACATTTAACGATATATATATATATATATATATATTTAGTTGGATTGATGTGAGTTTGGGACCTTGGATTTCACGCTTTTTTGAGTCTGACGATCGCAAAAGCGTGAAACCCAGGGTCACAAACTCACATCAATCCAACTAAATATGTTAGCTTTATCACTGATATTGAGCGCTTTCCAATAAGTACCGCGTTTATAATATATATATATATATATATATAAATATTTATATATATATATATATATATAATAAATTGCATATATATATATATATATGTGTGTGTGTGTGTGTGTGTGTGTGTGTGTGTGTGTGTGTGTGTGTGTGTGTGTGTGTGTGTGTGTGGATGTTAAACTATAGCGTTTAAGAGATGCTATATTGGTTTATTTAAAGTGCTTCGTCATCATGATTCGACCTCCGTACGGTTGGTCGAAACTCTATTGGCAAATCTCTTTCCACATTGTTCGCTCCTGTATTGCTGCCTCAAATCCCCCAATGTCCAAACCTTATTCCCAAGCTACGTTGTCTGGGAAAGTCAATTTTCGAGAGAAGAGAAGACATTTCCAGAAGGATGTTATAAGAGTAAAGATGATACGATTTTCCTGTCCGCTTGGTGGCAGTGATCGACAAACTGTAATCATTTTTTGTTTGAGCTTAAAAGACATTATTGGTCTCAGTTCTCCGTAAAATTGTGTTGCATGGGAATTCCAAATTTGTTCTGAAGTAGATTTGTACATTCAGTCGTCTTTCTAGGCGAACAGATAATGTCTAAATTTTTGATCCATACATTAAAACTGGTTCAATCAATGTTTGAAAGGTTTGAACATTTAAAGAGGCAAGTATGAGCGCCAAATCTTGTGATATTTGTTACACGCATGTTGACGTCTTTTTGGGTATCTATTATGGGAGTTCCAAGAGATTTGAAATCCTCAACACTTTTGATGAGTGTATTATTGAGTGACTTCAACTCGGATAGTTCAGGGGAGTTTGTCATATATTCTGTCTTACTCGTGCTGCAATAGAGGCCTACCTGATCCGCTACTTGCTAAGTTGATTAAAGGGCTTAATATCAGGGAGAGATCGTATACAAATATAAATTTTGTGGACATAGCTATTTAGATTGAATGGCGACTGAGAATGAAACAGATAGTCGACATTCAGTCTTAATACCTACGTCTACACACATACACATACATATGTAGAAAAAAGATTTGGAATAAAAATGAAATATTTATTTTCATTGCATGTCATACATATTGAAAAAATAAAACATATGAAATCATATTATAAATTAATCCACTTTTTAACAGAAATATTTAATTAGTGTTTAAATGAGCTGAACAAAAATAGTGTGTTGAGTTTTATCAAGTGGGCACCGAAAAAAGGTTGTGACTTTGCCTACTTATATAAAGTTGATAAAACAAAGACTATAAAACCGTTTCATATTTTTCCGTCACTTCAAAACTTTTCTGTGACACTAAAAGCGAAATAATGAGAATAAAGGTAAAGTTTTGTAGAATTTGCGTAAGTGGCTTAAAAACTGTCCGAGGTGCGTGATTTTAAGCAAGTTCCTAGCAGAGTCCTAGACCAGCAAAAAATCCTTGTTTTGAGCTATATATTTAATGGCTGAAACTTTCTTAGAAAATTAACACCCTGATTAATTCTACCTAAGCAATAAATATCCGAAGCGGAGGGCCATGCTTTCTCTCTGGAAGCACTATGTTTTCAATCTAGATCGGTTATATATTCAATCTACATGGGCTATGTATTCTCGCTTGAAGAATCCAAATATAAGGTAATGTCAAAGGAGTTTCAATAATTTTAGTCACATTTTCGAGTAGGACTCCCACCTTAAACACGATCTTGTTTTATATTCCGTTCGATTGAGTGCATGAATTTATCCAGGCATCTTGATGAACTGTTGGATGACATTTATATTAAATATCTGGGAACTGGGAAATTCACAAAATATTTCAAGTATATAGATATATGCTTTTTTATTGAAGCAATCAACAAATCCTAATAGCGGATTATGTTTGCAAAGATTTATAAGAGGGTCTTTCTGAGGTTAACTGTTATGTTCTTTGGTAGTCATTGATCTAACTAGAAAGATAATTATTTAGAATTTTCAAAAGATACAAAAGACGAAAGTCAAATTAACAGAAAAGAAACTAAAAGAAAGAAGAAAAAGTAATGCTTAAAAGAAAAACAGGATAAGGAAAATGAAAGCATGTTTGGGAAAAAAGGATTAGATGGAAAAGGCAAGAAAGTATTAGATGTAAAGGGCAAAAAAGAATTAGAAAAGGCAAGAAGATATAGAAAAGGCAAGAAAGGATTAGATAAAAGAAGGCAAGAATAGATAGAAAAGGCAAGGAAGGATTAGAGGGAAAGGGAAAGAAAGTATTAGATAGAAAATGCAAAAATGGATCAGACGGAAAAGGCAAAAATGGATCAGACGGAAAAGGCAAGAAAGGATTAGACGGAAAAGGCAAGAAAGGATTAGACGGAAAAGGCAAGAGAGGATTAGATAGAAAAGGCAAGAAAGAATTAGATAAAAAAGGCAAGAAGAGATAGAAAAGGCAAGAAATGATTAAATAGAAAAGGCAAGAAGAGATAGAAACAGCAAGAAAGGATTAGAAAGAAAACGTCAGAAAGGATTACATAGAAACGGCAAGAAAGGATTAGAGGGAAAGAGAAAGAAAGGATTAAACAGAAAAGGCATAAAGGATTAGAAAGAAAACGCCAGAAAGGATTAGATAGAAAAGACAAGAAAGGATCAGACGGAAAAGGCAAGAAAGTATTAGAGGAAAAAGGAAAGAAAGGATTAGATAGAAATGGCAAGAAAAGTTTAGGCACAAAAGACAAGAAAGTATTAGATAGGACAGAAAAGAAAGGATTAGATAGGAAAGTTAAGAACGGATTGTATAGAAAGAATTAGATGGAAAGGTTAAGAAAAAGAAAAAAAAGAATCATTAATTGATTCGTTGTTATGGCTTATCAACCATTTTGTAGTTTATTTAAAACCAGAAATTTGTAAGAATATTTTGGTGATAATAATGATTTACTGATACCATTCCTACTAACTGAGAGAAAAAGGGGTAGATTCATACTTTTACCAATAGGAATTTGCATTTATGTGAATATAATGGAGCCGAATGAAATTAGAACACGGCTTTCAGATTTCTTATTCCAAATCTTTAACCCTTACGCCACCCGCACATGCAAACTTACAGAATCTGATCTGAACTTGTTATGTATTTTCTACGATTAGACACATCGATTAGTGATGGCGGAGGGAAAAGTCGACGATTTGGAATACTGATTTTCAGCCTTTCTCATTCTCTTATCTATTTGGCATTGTGCAGTACTAAGAGATCGTTAGTTAATATTTAGAAATAGTGTAAAAATATTGAAAAGAATCGCAAGAAAAAGTATGAAAAGAAAATATTTAAAAGAAAGAAAACTTCTAGTAATAAAATAATGAAATAAATACGTGACCAATAAGTGTGATATTTGTTTTTTATTTTTACTCTCAGATAACTAAAGTAGCTATGAGGGGGGGGATTGTTTGCCGATGTGATATACTCCAAATCTTTTTTTAGTTAACTATTGTGAAGTTGAAGACCCCTTGTTAAGATATTTATCGTTGGAAGCAATGCATTGAAAATTAATCCAAGCCTTTCCCCAATAGCGTTCATATTAAATGAATGCAATCATTTTCCGCAGGGATTCGAACTCTCTTTGTTAATTCGCTTTTGATAACCGTTGTGTCACCAGACTGTGGCGTCAAAATCAAAACAAATACTGAAAATTGGAAATGTTAAAAAAGGTTTAGAAAATCTACAATGATTAAAATGTAGAAAAATCAGAGAAAAATGAATTAAGGACTAAAATGAATTAGGGGGTTGATGAAAATGTAATGATTTTTAAACATTAAAAGAGAGACAGCAGTAAAAGAATATGTTATAAAAAAGAAAGAAAGAAAATAAATAGGAAGAAAACTGAAAAAAGAACATGAATATAAAAGCAGTAGGAATTAATTCAGAAGATAATAAAACTGAAAAAGAAAAAACGAACAACAAAAAAGAAAGAAAGAAAGAAAGAATTATCCTTTCTTTATGAGGAAATAAAAGGAAAGAAGAAAAACAGGAGAAAGGAAAGAATGAAAAACATAGACGTTGGATTAAACTATAATAAGAAAATTAACAGAAAGAATATTGTACAAATAACAAAAACAAATCATGAAAAATTAAAAAAGTAGAAAGGAAGATAGGACACAAAATGAAAATAAACAAATAAAATAAAAACAAATAAAAATAAATAAAATAATAAATAAATCAGGAAAAAAGAAAGAACTAAAGACGTAGTCATTGAATTAAATTATAATAAAACTTAAAAAAAGAAAGAATATAAAAGGAATGAATGTCGCAAAAGATTAGATGAAAAAGTGAAAAGGCAAATCTGAAAGGAGTAAATTTTGAATTAAAATCTAAGAAAATTCCCCCCAAACAAAAAAAAGGTGAAAATAAATAGAAAGAAAAAAGAAAGAAAGTAAGAAAGAGTGAATGAACTAAAATCTAATAAACTTTTCAAACAAAATAACAGATTAAATTGAAATGAATAACAACGAGAGAACTAAAAAGAAAGGAAAACGAAACGGAAAAAATAATAACATTATTAAGAGAGAAAAGCTAAAAAGTTTTAAGAAACAGGAAAATATAAACGAGATAACCAAAACCAAAGAAGAAAAAAGAAGCGAAAGAGAGAGAGAAAATGAAATTGAAAAAAAGCGATATATGACGAATTAAATAGGCAATTAGCAAAATATTGGGTTTAGAGAAAAGATGCTAATTTCGTGCATAGAACGAACTTCGCCCGTAATTTCCTCTGCGATTAAGAATTTCCAGGCGGTGGCTAGTAATCTTTGAGAAACTACTGAATATCATTCATTATCGATCAAATCTGATTCCACAAGGGACAATTGCGGTCGTCTCAAAATATCCAATCCTCCCTATCGTTAGTATCATTTACGTATCGCCAGTCATGATAGATCGGCGCCATTTTACTGTCACGTTTCTTCTTGCTTCCCTCTTTCTCTATTTCCTTTCCATGTCTTGTGTTTCATGTGTAGGATCGAAAATGGTGGACATTAAATAAAGTCAGAGAAATTGTATTTCTACTGCTTTAACTTTGCCATATTTTCCACTTTTAAATAATGATATTTTTTCGAATCATTTATTACAACGACAGCCAATATACTTTGGAGCATATGCATGTTATCCTAATCATTTTATATCGAATCTTACAACAATGATATCCGGGCGCTTCTATTGAGTATCAAGCGACAACAAAGATTCGCACTTTCTGTCTGAATTTCTAACAGAAGTTATTATTTACATTATTTATAGTCTAACCAGTATCTTCATTTTTTACATTATTCGGACTATTGTCCTCATCTTTGTCGCCATTTTCTTCTTAATTCCATGGCACAGTGGATAAAGGCGTTGGTTAGATCCAGTGACAGGACCCAAAGACTGAGTTCAATACCCGGTTAAGGCAGTGGAGAACTTTCAGAGGGAAATTAACAGGAGATAACTGATAACTGACATCCATTAAACATGGCACGTGGAACTAGAACAGTCTACCCCAGTGAGTGAAATAAAGGGTTTAGTTCGACATTCCAACCACCTGAAGAAGGCCGAAATAAATATGGCGACAAAGATGAGGACAATAGTCCGAGTAATGTAAATAGTGTACATAATACCTCATCTCAGAAATATAGACAGATATCTTCATTTTTATTGTTTCGTCGGTTGTTCTCTAAGAGCTTGACCAAGTGTTTGTTAATCTATGTAAAGTTATTGCAGATTAATAACCTAGTTTAGTGAGTTCATTCATTACATATCACTCCTTTTCTGTGGCCTTGTTTCTAACTAATGTCAGTAAATGCCCTTTTGAAAAGTTCTTAACAGTCTCACAGGATAACTCAACTGATATCGATTTTCAAGAGTTGCTGTACACTTGTAATCTTTTGCCAGACTAAACGATTTATTTGCATATTTGGCTCTTATTTTTGGTATCCTTAATGTCATATTCCTTTCAGGATGGGGTCTCTCAGGATGCAGTCAATCCTGGGTCTCTTGTTAGCAGTCAATTTCTATGACTTTTTGGGAAAAATATTGGTTAAATTTCTTTGTGTATTCTCCACGGTTTGGAATTAATTTTTCTCTTTTTGTAATTGGTTTTGTCTTTTATTTTATTTGCGAGCTCGAATTAAAAAATAACCTAGTGTACTCTTTTTATTGAATAAGAACTCTTCTAGATCATTCTATATTAATACAGGATTAAGGGATCTATCCTTGAACCTACGGTGTTTCTTCACCAACGACCTTTCCTATAATATCAGTACCAAACTGTCTTAGCAGGAAGCCTGATCGGTTCGACAAAGTAAAACTGGTAATTGCTCTTTAAAATGACGTCTAATCAATGGTTAACTGGAACAAGGGATGGCTTGTACATTTTAAAACAAAATTGCTATGATTTAATCAGCATAGAATATCATTTTTTTTTGTCTTCCATCATAACGGCTGATGTTAACCTCCAGGATAACAACCCTTTGCTCTACCTTTGGTTCCAGTTTTCCCCTGACATGAAGTAGAGTTATTATATATGATCAACTACTATATCTGCTGCTAGGAAAGTTGATTCACTCTGTCCTGTCAGACCATTTTTCTTGTCAGCATCCATCGTGTACATTTATAAATTTACTATTCATTCGTGCATTGAATATTGCTGCCATATATGGTAAGGTAATCCTGCTATATATCACGAGATTCTTGACAAAAAAAAAAAAAAAAAGAGTCTATAATGTAATCGATCATTTCATGAGTCACTTTCCCCAGCCATGAAGTGGCTTCCCACTGTCTTTTCTACAAATATTTTCACAGTAACTCTTCTGATAATCTTTCCACCTTTGTGCTTCGTCTGCATGAATTTAAGCGTACTACTAGACTGTGGTGGTGGTGGTGGGGGGCGATTAAAGAGTGATATAAAAAAATAGTTTTTGAAATTGTCTCTGTCAACTTCCTAATACAAGCGCTCTACAGTCCCACAAGCCGATCTGAATGTGGAACCATGTTTTGACAAGCAAGGAGTTGGCCCCGGGCATCAACAAACCTCAGCACGCTACCGATTCTAATAGTTTCTGTTCTCGTCTGTGAATCTATCTTAAGATTCCTTGATTCGATGCCACCAAAAATCTTCAAAGATTTAAATGCAACGCCAATCATTATCTTCTGTCTACCAAAATCCCGTTTTATTGCTCTTCCTCCTCACTAAAATCTTTTCATTCTCTTTCACTCCCAGTAATCCCTTGCGTTTTAGTAGCTTTGCTTAGGATTAAATGATTAAAGAAATATAACAGCATAATATTGGCTGACTTGTGCTTAAACTGTTGGTTGTGATATATATCTTACGATGCGTCCGATAGAGACGCAGTCATTCGTCGTATACATCGTAAAATACAACGGTGTTATAGTTCAAGAAACTGGAAGCTATTTGATTCTTGGTACGAGCAGGATTACGCCGATAAAAATAACGGAAACAGAATACAATATCAGTTATGACAGATATACATATCACTTTCAGTATATAACAAGAGAATTTCTCACTAAAAAGAAAAATAATGGCGACATAGATACCAAGTTAGCGCCAAAAAAATTCTTAACGCCAATGTAAGGCGCAGAATTTGGAAATTACAAAATGGAGAAACTGTCAATGCTTATAGGAGCCGACGAAATAATAAGTATTAATATTCAATGAAAGAGCAAAAAACTCAAGCACCTCGGACAAGATTGGACAGCTCATGGCCATATCAGGTGGACACATCATTCTCCATACGATCACCGAAGTTAAGCAACGCCGAGCCTGGTCAGCACCGACCTGGGTGACCGCTTGGAAATACTAGTTGCTGTAAGCTTGAATGTCCAGCTGATGTAATGGATAATGAATGACCTGTAATTGAAAATTGAAAAGCCGAGTACCAATTCCAGCTGTGTTCGTTATATTCACTTAAACGCAATTACTCTTTGGAAAGCTATAAATTCGCCTCTTCTCCCCCAACTATGGGTTAGTTAGTTAGATTTGTATCACTAAATTATTATTAACTAAAAATGTTCTTATAATCTGAAAAGATTTACTGCAATGGGTTGATAACCTATAAGAAAGAAATTAATTAATCAAAAGATTTGCACATTCAATATTTGTTTTACATATAATACTGGACACTGAAAAAGAGGTAATGTTTTAGGTGTGGTATAAACTATATGAAAACTTATTTTGTCTTCTAGCTAGAAGACTAAAAAGTATTGTTTAAACAAAAAAAATGTATATTCGAGTGCAAAATATTCTTCAATCACATCCCAACTACAATCCCAACCAAGTGGCCTTGGTCAAACCCACGGTCAAGATGACTTGTTATTTGGTGCTAACACGGCTATCGACGTCTTCCGATCAGATTCAATTTCACTAATTTCGCTTTGATTAACATATGGCATGGTTTTCAGGCCCTTTCCAACGGTATCGAACACTTAGATCGTCTCCCCATCCTAGTATCAACCAGAAAGCACTTCCCTGACAAACTGGCCAAGCTGGGATTCAAACCCGAGTCCCATGGTTGCAATGCTCAGCCACGTAATAGGCTTTGTATTAAAACTTAAATCAATCAATTACACAATATATACGAATATTAATACGATTTCAATCTGAGAAATTCTTTCCCTTGTCACGGAAATAAGGGTCTAAACAAACCGAAGAACTAGAACATAATTAAAAAGGAATCAAATTCTCGTCAGTGACTAAATTATTTTGTAATTCTAACGACGAAGAAAGGAAAGTCTCCTTTATTTACATTTGTTGATTCAAATTTAAAAGAAAACATTTCTCTGAGTCTCCAACGAGGCGTCGAATCTGGTATAAAGAATCACATCGAGGAAAATCAAGATAAAAACCAGTTCCTTAATCATTAATAAAATGTTGGAAAGTTAAAATTTATTCGGAAACCGAATAAAAAATTAGTGTTGTAATTGATTGGTTGCCTTTCATATGAAAAAGATAAGAAGAAGTGACGAAGGTCATACAGTGAATTCATTGTCATCGTAAAATTCATCGCAGTTACAATTCAAGGGACCAGAAGTTATTTACTTCTTGGTGCAGACAAGATTTCAACGGTATAAAATATCGGTAAGAAAATAAAACGTTAGAGCAACAGATATCAATTTCAGTTTATAACGAGGAATTTCTCACCAGAAGGAAATGTTATTTAATAACATTATCTTAGTCGTATGTGTAGCCGTAACAGTAAGCCAATGAGGACCAAAACATTTCTTTTCTTTAAGGGAATTCACTTCAAACAATGCGGGAGTGCCACTAGCATCCAAGGGGTTACAGAGGATTGAGAACAAGAGTAAAGAGGCGTGTTTGAGGAAAGGATACAGAGAAGGACGGGGAACAAACCCAGGGAGTCAGATGTCGATTGACATTACACTTGAATGTTTGAAGATTATAGTCAACGGAGAAGCATGTAAGGAGAAGAGAGTTCCACAGACAGGACGTGCGGGAGAAGAGGCTGTTTGAGTCGAAGAGGCGGTTGCATTTAACCGTTTTAACAGTGAAAGGGTGAAAGCGAGATGCCAGTCTGGTAGCACATTTAAATTCATATAGCCCTGGAACTAGCGAAAGTAGCTCGTCGGAACAGTTGCCGTGAAAATATTTGTGGAAGAGACAGAGAGAGGCCAGAGCACGTCTGTGGGATAGCCATTGTAGACTAAATGCCAGATCAGGACCTATCATCTTGCATATACGTCTCTGCATTTTGTCAAGGACCTCGAGACGTACAGTGGGAGAACCAAGCCATATAAGACAGCAATATTCCATGCAAGGGCGGTTGATTTATACATTTGAAGAATGAACTCAGAAGAGAAAAACTTTCTGGCACGACACAGGGAGCCAACTTTCCTTGTGACAGATGAAGCTATTGATTCAAAGAATTTATTCTATCTCATGTCAATGGACAGTGTGAGACCAAGCAGGCATAACGATGCATTCTCAAGGAGTTGGGAATCGCCCATTCTGATGGAAGGCAGGAAGGGATCTCTGTGGTGGGTAAAGGAGAGCAGTTTCATTTTGGAGGCATTGAAGTTCACAACCCATTTCCTGCCCCAGTCAACCACAGATTGGAGGTCATTTTCAAGATCAGCAGCCAGGTTAGTTTTGTCAACGATACTAGATTTATTGCTGAGGCAGGAGTAAATAATGGTGTCGTCCGCGTAGATGCCAACTTGGGAACTGATGACATCGGGAAGGTCATTGATGAAGATCAGAAACAATGTAGGACCCAAGATAGAGCCTTGGGGGACACCGGTGTTCGTGATAGAAGAGCCGGAGGAGAGACCGTTTGGGACGACCTTCATTTTACGGTTCGAGAGGAATGATTGTATGAAGTCAAATAATCGTCCAATAATACCGTATCCCTGAAGCTTACGAAGAAGGCCAGCATTCCAAATCCTATCAAACGCTTTAGAGATTTCTAGAGCCACGGCTCAAGCTTCTCTATTATCGTTGAGTGCTTGGTATACAAATTCAGTTATGGCCGTGAGCACGTCGGCGGTAGATCGGGCAAAGCGGAAACCATATTGTTTGTCGGAGAGCAGATTTTGTGAAGTAAGGTGCTTAACCACTTCAGGCGTTGATTAAAGCCTCGAAGACGTTACCGAAGAGTGATAGGAGACTGATAGGATAGTAGTAACACGAGTCAGAAGGGTCAACAGAATTCGTAAAGACAGGCAAAACATCTGAGAACGTTCAACAGGCTGGAAAGCAACAGTTAGTGAAGCAGTAGTTGTAAAGTTTAAAGAGGACAGGAGCCAATTGAAGAGCACATTTCTTCAGAACAATGGACGGTATCCCGTCCCCACCACTAGCTTTAGGGGAGTCTGATTTAGAGATTATGTCCAATATCATCGTTGGGGTTATGTGCATCTCACCCAGTAGAGACTCAGTTCTAGGAGGAAAGTCCGGTATGGGTACACCAGATGAGCCTTGAGCGTTGATTTGGATGAGAACTTACGACAAAGCATTCAGCCTTATCAGCTGAGGTCAGGATTTCAAATTTATTGAATAGATGTTGTTCAGCACGCTTTTGCAGAGCCGCCAATAATCTTTTGAACCAAACTTGCAAAAAGCAATACGTTGATTCATTCTTTCGGCAAAGGGTAACTTTGCTTCTTTTAGGACATGCTTGCACTCGTTACGAGCGGTGATAAAGAGACGTCTGTTGTAACCAGACATGTCTCTACAGTAACGTCAGAACTAATGATTCCTGTGGGCAATGGCTGTTGCGCAAGCAGCTGAGAACCAAGGGGATGAGTGCGATTTAATTATATGTAAAATGAATATAGTAACCATTACAATACAATATTAAATAAAAATATGTCTTATTACACGACTTGATAAGCAAACTGACAGTAAAGTCATAAGTTTCTTTATTATCTACTGATGCATTAATAATTATTAGGATAGAAAAAAAACTGTATTTTACATTAGAAATTAGAAATATGACGCATGTACAATGTTTTAGCGGATATGGAATATTTCCTATGAGAAAGAATTTTATACTGACTTTTGCTACGATAATAATATTGCTTTATGTAAAAATGATTGTAATACATAAAGTAACAATTAAAACATCAAAAGAAATGTTGCTTATAATAAAATTCTTGGAAATAAAATATCCAAAGACTGAAAAAGAAGTGGAAAGATTGTATTTCCTTTAGTCAAACCTGACTTTCGGCTTTCAAAATCAACATTCCAAATTTAGGCTTTTTTTTCCTGAGATTTGCCACTAAACTTTTGCTACCGGTGACAAATAATAATGTTTAAGCGTTAGTGTGTTTTCTTTTGAATTCAAAATTATACCTCTGAACATTTATCATTATTTAACATTAAATAGAATAATTTTCTCTTCCCGATTTAAAAAAAAAGTAAATATTGTATTTGTCAATAGTAAAAGACTATGAAATCTTTCCGTATGGAAATTATTATTAAAGTCGATTAACATTAAAAGAATCTATCTTCTATTTTACATGTTCTACTTATCGATAAGAGAATGCCATACCAAACAATGCCAACAGTCGATACATTGACTCTCCTTGCGAATCATAAGGATTTTTCTGTAATCTTTCTATCTTTCCCATCTCTGTTTACTCTTTTTCTCTTACAGACACTAAAAGGTCATATGAAGTTTATTCGTTTTCTTTCAAGAAAGACTTTTACTTGGAAGCAAAAGAATTGTTTCTGATTAACTGAAAACTTCAGGAAAATAAGAAAAATGCGAAGACTTCAACTGGGTTAGTTAAAGGCTTTACTCTTCGAAGTGAATACAAGTTACAGATAAGCACGTTTAGTTTCTTTTTTTCATTCTGTGTGAGTTTTTATTATTTATTTTGTCTCAGATTCTTAGCATAAGCTTCTTTGACTTAAAGTAAAGGTCAGTTTTATATATTCAGCTTTAAGGTTTTCTTAAGAAAGGGTCCTCTTTTATTTATTCAATAGCAGATAAGAATGGATCTTCCACGGACAAAACAGAAAAGGTCAAAAGCAAAAATGGATTTAGATATATGCTATCATCATAATGTTTTCATCTGAGTATCAATGACTGTAGGATCTTGTGTATTGGTTATAAATAAAGTCACCATCCCTTTTTCTTTTAAATGAAATAAACATTTTATTTCTAATCGGTATCGAAGCTTCAGAAAATGATATATTACCAAAACTTTTAACATCAATATATTTAATAATGTTTATAAACTAAAATGTCAGCCAATCTTGTTAAAGAACCTACATTAAAAGGTCAAGGGTATGAAAGTATTATTGAAGGAACCCAGCTTTTTTCATCGATGATTTCGTAATTGCTACTGAC